TCATTAGCACTTGACCAGATGGCATCAACTGACTTTCCAGATTGCAGACATGCATTTGATATGCTTGCCAAGGGACAGAGGGAGTTGTCTGACTGAATCACTGACACTCACACACAAGGGAGTCTGCGAATAAACTAGGACAAGTCTTTCACTAAGCACGCAGTCTGGTATCTCTATGCCACAAAAATCCACCTTTACTTGCAGTTTGGTTGATATAGGAACAACAAACGGCTTTGAAAGTGTTATCCTTTCAGGCAGAATTTGGACAGGGCCCTCATAGGCCTTTGCATTTCATACAGTTCAAAGGACTTGCAGCAAGAGTCAAACAAAAAAAAAATCTATAGCCATCTGGCAATGCCTGGGAACACTTGCAATGTTCACATTCAGTTTACTAGATTCCCCTCGCTCCCTGCCTGTGCTTCAGAACTAGAACTCCTACTGACGTTTTTATTAGTACAAAGAGATCAAACTTGAATTACATTTCACCATGAAAGAGGAAGTACTGTCTACTGTCTGACCATCATCTCCTCTTGCAGAGGTTACACAGCTACAGACTCTAAGTGTGTTAACAGCTGGTAAGTCTATAGATAGCCCCCCAAACTGCTTTTTCCAACCCACAGTAGCGGGTTGGGTAGAATTTGCACAGGCTACCATCTGTGGCTGCTGCAGCAGGAAGCCTAGGAGTATGGCTGAATGGAGACCAGAATTATTTTTTCAGTGCTTCCAACCCATGTAACACCATTCTAACAATGAAAATTTGAATTCTGAAGTTACACTCCTGCTGTAAGATCTTCAGTAATGACTCTCCAAGCAAGCAGCAGGATTGAGGGTAATTATATATCTACTATCCCCCTCATTTAATTTTAGAGGGGAATTTGATGAGCTGCTCCTACTGAATCATCCTTAGGCAATAAATAGGATAGGAATAAAGTTATACTCTGGAGATAGAGGTCTAAAGAGTTAGAGATCTGTGTGCGGTCGCAGGGCCATGATCTCATTGCAGTGACAGAGACATGGTGGGATAGTTCACATAACTGGGATGCTGTCATGGATGGCTATGTGCTTTTTAGGAAAGACAGGCCAGGAAGGCGAGGTGGTGGAGTTGCTCTTTATGTGAGGGAGCAACTAGAATGTATGGAGCTCTGCCTCGGGGTGGATGAAGAGCAAGTGGAGAGCCTATGGGTAAGGATTAAAGGGCAAGGTAACATGGGTGACACTGTTGTGGGGGTCTACTACAGGCCACCTGACCAGGAGGAAGTCATCGATGAGGCCTTCTACAGACAGCTGGAAGAAGCCTCACGATCACAGGCCCTGGTTCTCATGGGAGACTTCACCACCCTGACATCTGTTGGCAAGACAGCACAGCTAGGCACAAACAGTCGAGGAGGTTCCTGCAGAGGATTGATGATAATTTCTTGACCCAGGTGGTGGAGACACCAACGAGGAGAGGTGCAATGCTAGACCTTGTACTAACGAACAAAGGTCTAGTTGGAGAGGTGAAGGTTGGGGGCAGCCTTGGCTGCAGTGACCAGGAGATGGTGGAGTTCAGAATCCTGCGAGGAGGGAGCAGGGCAATGAGTAGGATTGCAACGCTGGACTTCACGGAGAGCTAACTTTGGCCTCTTGAGGGACCTACTTAGGGGAATCTCATGGGGTAGGGCCCTAGAAGGAAGAGGGGTCCAAGAAAGCTGGTTAATATTCAAGCATCAC